GAAAATTGAAATCGGTGCACCCCTAGCTCAAACCCCCGTTTGGAGGAACTTTAGAGACGTTTCTGTCATGTCCAGAAAAGATCTCGTCCCCCCACGCAAAAGAGAGCACATTACACCTGTTTTGGCCTCCCTACACTGGCTTCCGGTTCACCTTCGAATCAAATTCAAAATACTCTTGTATGTCTATAAATCACTAAACAGCTCTGCCCCCTCCTATCTTACTGATCTGCTCCAGCCGTATGTCCCACTACGTTCTCTCAGATCAGCAGACCAGTTACTCCTAACAGTCCCAGGAACCCGCCTCAAGCGCAGAGGTGACAGGGCCTTCTCTGTAGCAGGCCCAAGACTTTGGAATGAGTTACCTCTGCTCGTTAGACAGGCCCCCTCCCTCACAGTTTTTAAATCTCGCTTAAAAACACACTTTTATTCCCTGGCTTTCTGCACTGTGTGATCTGTGCTGAGTCTGTGTGCATCACACTGTGTTGGTCATGTTGCGGTTGTTGTTGTTATCCATTATTGTTTTTGTTGGTTTCTACTTTTTGGTGTCCTGTTATGTAATCTGTTGCTATGTGCTTGTTCTGTTTGTCCCTGTACAGCACTTTGGTGTGCTTTGTCACTGTTTAAAGTGCTATATAAATAAATTGGTATGGTATGGTAAGTTCAGGAAATTCTGATAAAAAATGTAATTTCCAGGGTTCCAGAAGGAGAGGAAAACACAAGTTCTACTCTCGTCACTTCCTGGTCCCAAAATGGACCGGAGGGATGAGACTCATCTTAGATTTGTCAATTTTCAACTGTGAGACAACATTTCCATTCAAAATGAGCCGAGTCGGCTTTGCGGCCGCTTCACAGAGCAGGAAGGAGAATTGTTTTATCTGGATGATCTGTTGCTGCTGACCCATTTTTGCAGACAGGTGGAGCAGTGCAACTCACGTGAAACCGGCAGAGTGATAACAGCTGTTTACTTCATGAAGTTATTAAGGAGATGTCGTCTGCTCACACGGTGTGACGCCTCCAGAGGTGGTCCGCTCGTTTGCGCGTGGACCCGGTGAGGCAGAAGAGACGGTTGATCGCTGTGCCCCCCTCCGTGAGAATCGACATGAGACACTGGGAAACCCTCTTGTTCTGTCGGAGGGAGTTCCCGTCAGCAGACCTACGTCACACGTGTCAGTTTTCACAAACGCGTCCCTGTCAGGTTGGGAAGGCACTTGCATGTCTTGAGCTGTGGGGGCGCTGTGGCCACCCCACACAGCAGCTCATATAAATGTTTTTGGAGTGTCACACGGTTTTGAATGTGAGTCAACACTTTGCCTCTGTGCTACGGAATCAACATATGTTGATTCACATAAACAACAAGTGACTGTTGCATACATAAACTGGCAGGGGGGGTGTGCACTCAGCCCAAATGTTAGACATTGTGAGACAGCTGCTGTGATGGGCACACCAAAATCTGCTCTCCATCAGAGCAGTGTACATCCCCAGTGTTCTGAACAGGGGGGTGGATGTGATGTCCAGGGGCAGTCTGCGTCACGGGGCCTGGACTCTTCATCCAGAGCTGATGGCTCAGATGAAGCAGAAATTTAGCAAAGAGGCCGTGGACCTGTTTGTAACACGAGAGAACACTCAGTGTCAACTATGGTTCTCACTGAGCCCGCGAGACGAACCACCGCTAGGGGTGGACGCGTTTGCTCACAGCCCGTGGCCAAAAATGCTTCTTTACGCATTTCCCCCACTCCCTGATATCATGGTTTTCTGAACCAAGTTCAGGAGGAGGGACTGATAGCTCTCCTGGTGGCTCCCGAGCGCATGAACGCCCCATGGTCCCCAGTTCTACGACACCTATTATCGAGGCGCCCGTGGAAACTGCCGTGGAGGGAGGATGCTCTCCTCCAGGCGGGAGTAGAGATCAGGAGATACCCAGAAATAGGCCAGCACCTTTGAGTCTGGCCGCTGAGCGGATCCGCTTAGAGAGGATGGGTTTCTCTCAAGATGTAGTGCGTACGATCCAGGATTCACATGTTACATCTACCACAGCGCTGTACACATCAAAGTGGACAGCTTTTCAGCGCTGCTGTACGGCGAAAGGTGTAGAGGCCACCTCATGTTCATTAGGTGGCGTGCTGTTCTTTCTGCAGCAGCTGATGGACAGAAATCTGGCAATCAGCACGATTAAAACGTATGATGCAGCCATCTCTTCTTGTCACAAAGGTTTCGGTGACAGAACAGATTTTAATCATCCGCTGATGAAGCATTTTTTTAAAAGGTGTACAGAGATGCAGGCCTGATTCACGCCCACTTGCTCCACAGTGAGATTTAACGCTGGTCCTACGAGCCCTGATCAAAGCTCCATTCGAGCCACTAGATCAGGTTCCGATTAAATTCTTGTCTCTTAAAACAGCCCTGCTGTTGGCTTTAACATCCGTTATGAGGGTGAGTGATTTATCTGCCCTCTCTGTCGCTCTGTCATGTCTAAGGATTCAGGCTGATGGCAGCTCAGTTGGTTTGAGGCCTAATCCAGCGTTAATGCCTAAAACATCATGAGCTCTTTTATATCAAGAGTGGTATCGTTGGAGGGATTTTTTCCCTCCTCCCCACAATCAGAAGAAGAAACATCTTTCCATCTTCTCTGCCCTGTACGTGCGTTGACGTGTTACGTAACACGCACGACGGCATTGCGTCAGACTCAACATTTGTTTGTGCACTATAGAGACACATCTGCAGGTCGCCCGTTATCCATCCAGCGCCTGTCACACTGGCTGTGTGAGGCCATTTCTGAAGCCTACAGAGCATCAGATTTAGAGCCTCCTGACAACCTCAGGGCGCACTCGACCAGAGGTATTGCATCTTCAACTGCTTTGCATAATGGTATAACAATGCAGGATATTTGCACTGCGGCCGTGTGGTCAACATCCTGTTCATTTATTTGCTTCTATTTATGTGATGTGATGGCTCGTTCCATGACACATTCTGTCCTTAGTGCCTTAACAGAATGAATATTGTTGTTTCATGGAATCTCGTTTAAACTCACATCTGACTGCATGCATTTACAGTGTGAGATGTTGTTATCAGTCAAAGGTTATGACTGTTGTTCTTGTTCTATGGCTATTAATCAGTTCATGACTACTGTCATCAATCAGTTCATTTGATTAATAATCAGTTAATTTATTATTAATCTGTTCATATTGAAGAGCAGTGGATCTGCTCTGTTCACGGCCTTTTTCAGCCTCTCCTCTTTTCTGTTGATAACCTTTCCAGGGCGTTCATGCACTCGGAACGCCTAAATTACGCAATGCGCGTCTGTGCATGGTGCGCGTAATTACGCGATGCGTATTTACGCACATGGAGAGCTGAGTGACAAGATGTTTTGGGCAAGCAGGCATTTCTTATGGTGTTTGAATGGACCCAGTGAGGCGGAGACTACATCTGCTTCACCCTTAACCCACCAGCGACAGCATTAAAGGGCGAAGCATTTATGAAATAGAACGTTGGTTACGTACTGTAACCCCAGATTCTATGAGTATAGGCGTAGCCCTTTAAGCGTCGGGCCTCACTGGCTCCTAAATGGCTGAAGAAAAAGCTATTTTGGGAGCTGATTACCCGCTTTTAACGTAAGTTATACGGACCGGGTGGAGCCTACACAACAGGTGGGTGTGGACTAATTTTTTTCAGTGCGATGCTTTGCATGACGGGATAAACCCACCAGTGACAGCCTTAAAGGGCTACGCCTATACTCATAGAATCTGGGGTTACAGTACATAACAAATGTTTGTATACCTGGATTATTAAGCATGAACTGTTTTGGTTTTGAACCCGTTTGACATGACTGTTGATGAGGAAGAGGGCCAGATCCAGAGAAGGGGGCGTGCCAAAGACACCATCTTAGCACCAACATAACTGGTTTGTTCCACTTTGGAGTAAGCTGTTTGGGGGAAGAATCAGTTTTGTGTTGTGTGTTTCCTTGACTGATGAAGCCTTCCAGATGGAAGGTGAAACATTTCAGCAAAAAAAAGAAACTGTCCAGATGATATGACTGAAAATTGTTGGATTGTATACCTGAATTGTTGAGCATGGACTGTTTTGGTTTTGAACCAGTTTGACATGACTGTTGATGAGGAAGAGGGCCAGATCCAGAGGAGAGGGCATGCCAAAGACACCATTTTAATACAAACATAACTGGGTTTTTCCACTTTGGCGTAAGCTGTTTGGGGGAAGAATAAGTTTTGTGTTGTGTGTTTCCTTGACTAATGAAGCCTTCCGGATGCA